TTATTGGTCAATTTGCATGTATCGTGATCAATTTTATAAAAATTTAATATAAGGATTTTTTTTTGGGGAGGGGGAAGTCTTTTTACTTTTTGAAGTTAATCTAGGTGTAAACAGAGCCATTTACGATGGTTCCCCCAAGTGGCCCACTCCGTTATAATGATACCACCCACTCCCTTGCTTGACAACAATTTCTTGTTAAATGATAAATCAGTTCATCTAATGTTATCTTTATATAAGCTCCAATCAGTTTATCTAAAAGAAAATTATATAAATTAATAATAGAACTTGCTATTTAGTTAACGATATCGTAAAAAATTAATAATCATAACCAAACCGTACGTTTAACCTGCAAACTGAACAACCCCGACCTATTTTGGTTCAACTAAGTTACACAGTGTCCAATTTTTACATCCATGGATCTATCATTAAATATAATACAACATAAACGAAAAATGTAAAGAATTATGTGACAAACGGTGAATTTATTGCTTTACTCTTTAAAGCATTATATTTAACCATAATCATGATATTTTGGTGAATTTCAACCAAACATAGTTAATGATTATATATATATAGAGAGAGAGATATATATGATTATATATATATATATATATATATATAATATAGATAGAGAGGAGCGTTCAAATAAAAATCACTCAATTTGTAAAAACCGTAAAAACTTCATTCAATCAATCATAATTTTTCATTTTGTTTATTTTTTTTTGTAATTATGAGAGGTTGATTAACCATTTTTATTGTGGAGGGTGTTAATCATAAATATTATTATCTTCATTATTTTAATTTTAGAGAAATACATGAAACAATTTCAAAAAAATTTCATTAAATATTATATAAACAATTTCATAACCATATATGAAACAAATTCATCAAAAAAAATATTATATAAAACAATTTCACAAAATTAAACAAGTCCATGAAAAAATTTTATAAGATTAAACAATGAAATTGACATATGAGGGTGGTTTTCATTTGATCGCTCGTCAATATATATATATATATATATTAACGGAAAAATAATTTTAAATACATTATATTCGTTTTAGAAAAATATACTTAATCATTTCTAAAATATGATATTTAAATTAATAAAAAAATTATAAAATGCTCCTACCCGTGATTTAATTTTTTTAGTATATTATCTTTGTCTTTCTAAACTTGGAAATTTTCAAATGTAAAAATAATTTTATTAATTTAATAGTTTTTAAGTAAATATAAGGATTTTTACTTAATATATATTTTAATTTAAGATATCTGATTTATACTGGATACTAAAAAACTTATAATAAAGATTTTTCTAAAATAAAATATGTGAATTACAGTTAATCTTAGAATAAATTATATTTTTGGTCAACGTAATTTGCTCAAATTCTGGTTTTATCAACAATGGTCCATTAAAGATTAATTTATTCCTTACAATTGTTGCTAACGGAATGTTATAAAATTACAAAGTTAAGAATTTGCAGATTAAATCTGAACTTTGAGCAATCGACATGACAAATATCGTACTTCACTCTTTAGTCAAAAGAAGAACATTATTATTTAAATAAAGAATTATTATCCTCATAATTATATATTTTAGAAACATTTTTAATTAATAAAGAGGTAATTATTTGGAAAAAATTAATGATTGATTATTACTAGCGTCGTGGGCCCCGTTACATGACCACCAAGTCTTAAAGTTGCTTAAAACATTAGTAGTCTTAATTCTTTGAATCAATAATATCCACCGCCATTTAATTTGTAGAATATGCCAAAATTATCACATAAATTAATATAAATACTAAAAAGCAAATAAAAAAATATAATTGAAAAAAGTGACATTTATATATAAAAAATGAAGCTTGTAATGTAAAAAAAATATAAAAGTTATTATCTAAAAGGATAAACTCTTTTTCAATGGAACAAAACAATATATTTAAATATAAAAAATAACATTTATAATATAATTTATTTTTGAAAAATGATATAACACACATCTGTCCTTGATTATGATTATATATACAAAATCATGTATCGATGTTTAATCAATTGGTCCATTTGATCTTAGTATATGTTTGATTCTTGATACATGATTTGAACAGAATTATAAGGGAAATTAATATAACTTATATATGATAAGACGGAAGTTTGTGTGAGTATAAGAGTTAAACTGAGAAGAATAAGAAGGGATTTGAACTTATTTAGATTTTCGCCTTCTTATAAAATGTTTAACCTCTCGTTTGAATTCGTTTGTCTCTATATATAAAAGTTTGTATATATATCTATACTATATTATAAAGCATCTGGCTAAAACTTTTAAAAACTCTTAAAACTCTTAAACTCTTTAACCCGTTCATCCCTATCCGATTTCATCCGATATCTGGATTCGTGTAACTAACTGCAGATAAACACAATCAAATACAAGATAAACATCTCATTTTAAATATAAAAAATCTAAAATATAATTAAGATAATCATTGAGTTCTAACATAATACTTAATTATTATCTTTATAAAATATTATATTATTAAACTAAAAATAAATTATTTCATTATTAAACTTAAAT